TAGTAATAGATTATAAGAATCTTACTATATTAAACACTATTACTATATTAACTATATAAAGTACTAGTTTATTACTATTAAAATATATTATATTAATAAGAATCTTATAGTTAAACTTATTATTATTATATAGCGTAAACTTAAAGTAACTAAGGGCTTTAAAGTATAATTAGTAGTAGTAGTAGTACTTATTAATAGCTTTAATTAATAATAGAGAGGTGTTTTCTTTAGTATATTTAAGTAACTTATAAAGTTACTAAATAGTTAGGTAGCTAAATTACTAGTAGATTTAGTATAACTTACTGTCTATTAAGTGTTACCTAGTAATACTCTTCTCTAGTAGTTATAGAAGCATCTATAGGTAGCTAAATTAGTAAATAATAGGTATAAGTTATTACCCTAGATTAGCTAGTTAGTAAGGTTATTAAATTTTATACTATAATAGTCTATATCCTTTAAGTAAAAAGAAATAAAGTATTAGTAGTTATTATATAAAAAACAAGGTTACTAAGTAGTATAAGTATATTAATTACCCCTAGGGATTTAAAGTAATTACTACTACTAAAGTAAATACTTACTTTACTTACTTAGGTAGTATCTATAGGTATCTTTTTACCTAAGTAGTACTAGAGGGCAAAGTATTACTTATAGCTAGTAGTTAATTTCTTAGCTATACTAGTGTTAAGTATAATACTATAAAAAGTTACTACTAAATAGTACTTATTAAGTATAAATATTTATTAGTTTTTATAGTCTTACTAAGTAATAGCTCCTTTAGTAGGTTCTTATAAGTAAGTGTATAGTAGTTACCTAGTTATATAACTTAGAGAATATAGTTAGGCTATTAATTAATAGTTATATAAAGAAGGTAGTAAATATAAAGAACACTATATTTATATAGTTATTATTATTATAATAGGTTATTTATTACTATTACTTACTTCTTAGAGATAACTTATATTATAACCTTTATAGTTAAAAAGAAAGTAGTTAAAGGTAGCTAGTAAAGCTTATATAAAGTAAGTACTTTTATACTAGTTAAACAAAGATTACTACTCTTCTTTAGTGTACTTAGTTAACTAATAACTAGGCTTACTATAGATAAAGCACTTTTAGTTAATTTATTACTACATTAGTTTTTACTATAGTAGTTACTTTATAAAGAACCTTATATTTACTATAGATTAGTATAATTATTATAGCTACTATTATACTTATAGTTAACCTAAAATTACTTATCTCTATAGTAGATTTATCTATAAGGTATTATATAGGTAGCTTATAGTAAAGTAAAGTATTTACTACTTTATTATATAGTTATATATAAAGGCTATAGAATATAGCTAGTAGGTTAAAGAGAGCTATAGTACACTTAGGTATACTATAGTAATAGGTAATAAGGCACTTATAATAATCCTTATTCTTAGGTAGGCTATTATAGGTAGTTACCTTAATAGTTTAGTAACCCTTTTAATAAGTAACTTAAGGATCTTAAGCTTATTCTTACTATAGTTTTTATAAGTAATTAAGCTAAATAATATATAGTAAAGCTTAGTAATATAGGCTAAGTGTACCTTATTACCTTTAAATTATTCTTTAAGCTTTACTATTAAAGCGTTAAAATTACCTACCTATTAGTAAAGTATAAAGGTGTAATACTTTTATAGTTTACCTTAGAGTATTACTTAAATTACTACTCTATAGTAGTCTTATATTATACCTACCTAGACATAAAGGTCATAAAATAATAGTAATTTTAAGTTAATAGTCTTATACTAGCTACTAGTGTATTTTATAGCCTAGTTATTAGAGTATATCTTTATAAGGTCACTTATTTACTTTAGTATTAGCTTTAATATTACTATTAATATTACTATAGTTAATAAAGGCTTTATAGTAGTATAGTAGTTATTATATATAGGCTATAGATTTTAGCTATTACTTAGGGTTTTAGCGTTAATAAAGGCAGTAGTAAAGTAAAGGTTAGGTTATTATAGGAGGTCTAATAGGTAATTACTAGTAATAGGTACACTTTAGCTAGTTTTTTACTATATAGGATTATATTATAACCTTAGATATTCTTAATAAAGTTAAGGTCTTTAAGGTATAGTTTAAAGTTATATAATAATCTTTTAATAATAGTAATTATTTTATTAGTCTAGTAGGTACCTTTCTCCTGTTAAAGGGTATTAAATATACGTTAAGTAATTAATAAGTGTTTACTATAGTTAACCTATATACTATAATTAATAAAGAAGTTATATAGGCTTATTAAGACCTTTTAGTTAATTACCTTAAAGTTATTTATAGACTATTTACTAAAATCCTTATAGGTGTAGTAGAGTAATTTACTACTAATATAGTTATAGTACTTATAACTACTAATATAAAATATAGTAATAGTGTTAAGCGTAAAAGCTTATTACTTACTTATAAGGTTAGTTAGTAACTTCTTAATATAGTCTTTTCCCTATTACTACAGGAGAATATACTATATAAGGTTAGTAAGTATAGTAAATATATTATTAATTACTACTACTTACTACTTATATTAAGTAGTATATTATACTTACTATAAACTTCTTCTTATTACTTTATAGTAAAGGTGCAGTAACCTATAAGCCTTACTTACTTATAAGCTTATTATATTTACTTATCTTAGCTTAGGTCTTCTACTTATAGGCGTAGTGTTATTTACTATTGCCCTCTGTTAGCCTAATAACCTCTTAAACATAGGCGTTTCTTCTAGTAGACTAGAAGCGTATACGTTTATTAGAGGATTACTACTAGTAGTATAGACAGCTAAGGAAAAACATACTCTTATAGGTAAATAACTTAGGGAAAAACAATAGGCTATTATATTAGTTACTTATTAACGCTATTAGTTAGTAAAAAGAAGAAATAATAGGCTATTATATTATAACTTGTTAATACTGTTAGTTAGCAAAAGAAGTATATATATAGGAAAAAGAAGTTAGTAAGCTAAAGAGCTTATAATAAATAAGGTATAGTAAATAATTACTAGTTAGCTATAGGTATATAAAGTAAGGGGTTTTTTATAGTTAAGAGTGCTTCTCTAAAGGTAATAAAGCTTATATAATAGACATAAATTAATAAGGTTTCTACTAGTTAAAGGGACTAGTTGTAGATCTATTAATTAACCTATTATAATAGGTAATTAGCATAAACTATTATAGTAAGGGTATTTATAGAGGCGTTTTTTAGTACTTGCTTACTCTAGGTATATAAATAATTAACTAGTAATAATTGCCTCTTCTTGTAGTCTTTGCTAATCTATAGTTTAGATAGTAAAGTTAACTTATATAGTTAACAGTAAAGTTAACTACTAATTAGTATTAGTAACACTAAGGGATAGGTTAATATAGTTAACTATATATATTAGTAGTAATTAATAAATAATAAAGGTAACTATAGTTCTCTATTATATATAAAGAAAAGAAGGATAATTATTATAAGTAAGTTAGTTAAATAACTAACTTATTACCTATAAATCCTTAGAGAATCTATAGCTAAATATCTAAGGATTTACTAGAGAGTTTAAAAAAAATACAAAATATAATATAATACAAAAATATAATACAAATACATTATAATATAATACAAATATAATACATATATTTGTATTGTATTATATAGGAAAGACAATATATGTATTTGTATTTGTATTATATTGTATCTGTATTGTATTTTGTATAATATACAACTATACAATATAAAAAATAAAAATAATTAAAAATTAGTAAATTAATTATATATAGTACTATTAACCTTCTTTTATAGTATAGTATTTGCATATATTTTATTTAAAATATAGTATACTTAAAAACTAAGAGATAGTAAAGTTTATTAAGTATTATTTATAAGTATTTACTACTAGTACTATATAAGTAATATAGATAAAAGAACTATATATTACTTAAAGTATAATATATTAATATACTATAACTATACTAAAGTTACTATTAATAACTAACTATATAATAATTAACTATATAATAACTAACTATATTATAACTAACTATATAATAACTAACTATATAATAAATAGCTTTTAATACCTAACTATATAATAAATAGCTTTTAATACCTAGCTATATAATAACTAACTATATAATAAATAGCTTTTAATACCTAACTATATAATAACTAACTATATAATAACTAGCTATATAATAAATAGCTTTTAATAGCTAACTATATAATAAATAACTTTTAATAACTAACTATATAATAAATAGCTTTTAATACCTAACTATATAATAAGTTAATAACTAACTATATAATAAATAGCTTTTAATACCTAACTATATAATAACTAACTATATAATAAATAGCTTTTAATACTTAACTATATAATAACTAACTATATAATAAATAGCTTTTAATAGCTAACTATATAATAAGTTAATAACTAACTATATAATAAATAGCTTTTAATACCTAACTATATAATAACTAACTATATAATAAATAGCTTTTAATACTTAACTATATAATAACTAACTTTATAATAAATAGCTTTTAATAGCTAACTATATAATAACTAACTATATAATAACTAACTATATAATAACTAACTATATAATAACTAACTATATAATAAATAGCTCTTAGTAACTAGAATCCTCTTCTATCTCTCCTACTTCTTTAAAATCTTCTATTTCTTTATCTTTTACTTCTTCTTCTATAATACTCCCTTCTTCTTTAGATAAGTATTTAAAGCCTATATTAAATAAACTACTATATATCTTAGGTATATAAAAAGAGCTATCTAAGCCCTCTAAATTACTAGATTATTGCTAGCCTTTTAAAAGTATTAATTTTTTTCTAGTATTATTTGTTAAATTAGTTCTTCTTTTAGTAATAATATTACTAGACTGGTTAAAACTACTTTCTACTACAGCAGAAGTAGGAGGTATAGCTAAGTATTTTCTTGCTAATATAGATAAAATAGGAAATTTCTCTATATTATTCTTCTACTACTCTAAAGAATTTACCTAAATAATAGTTAGTATATACTATATAATATTATATTAAATTATTTTAAAAATATTATAGTTATAGTCTATAAATAAATCTTTTATAGTTTTTAAAACTAGTTAAATATATTAAAAGTCTTACTTACTTTGTTTCCTATAGGGGATAAAGAATAATAATTTTCTAATTTATTTTCTCTTATTTTAGCTACTTATTGTTTACTTTATATAGGGTAAAAATCCTTAAATTCCTTAGGCTTAGGCTTAGGAATAGGTATTTTTAATTTATTTTTACCTATAGGCCCTTCTCTAGGCTTAGATAAATCTATAGTAAATCTATTTGCTTTTTTACTAGTACTACTAGTAGGAAGATTAGAAGAAGAATTAGAGTTATAGTTATTATCCTTAATTTTAATAGTTTTATTTAAACTAGGAATATATAACTCTTCTTTATTATTTTTTTCTAGATCTTTAATAATCTTTTGTTTTAGCCTAAAATATAGAAATAATAAATTAGTATATTATAACTATAAGTATATTAAAGGTAAATATAATAACTAGAAGTATATTAATATAGTTATTATAGTTAAGTTACTTACTTATTATATTCTTCTTTAAGATCTTCTTTTACTTTTACCTCTAGCCAAGAAGGTAAATAAGCCTTTAAATAAGTATTATTAAAAAACTGTTGTATATTCTACTTAGGTTCTAAAATAGAACCTAAAATATAAGGCTTAAATTTAGGATAATTAGCATGTGTAATAGGTAAAGAAAAATAAGTATTAAGCTTATTTTTTCCTTTTTCTATAGCATCTATAAAGTGCTTAGCATAAGGGTCTTGTGGTTTATTACTCTATAAAATATATTAGTAAGTTTAGTAAAATTAAATTAATATTTAATAATTATCTTTAATAATAAACTTAAAGATATTTATAGTAGTTTATTATATTAATATAAAAGATTAATAACTTACTAAGTCTCCTACTATAGGCTTTTGCTGTTCTTTATAGTAATTTAACTCCCTTTCTAAAGTTAAATTAATATTAGTAACCCAAAATAATAGCTTATCTATAGTAGTAAAGGTTTAATATTGTATTTGTATAGTAGGGGCATAAAAAGCTTCTAATAAATCCTTAATATGCTGTAGTTATAACTAGTTTCTTAGAATTATAGCTTTAAATATAGGGTTTTTAGTACTAGACCCTAGGGTAATTAAGGCTGGCTTTAATTCTAAAGCAGTACTAATCATTATATATACAGAATTCTATCTAGTATTATTACTTATTAAATTATTAGTTTATATATAAATATAATAATATTAATATAATTTATAACTTATTTTATAAACTTATAAAGAGGTATTTTAGTTCTATTATAGTTATAAGGTATAGTAGGATCTTTAAGCTCTTTATTATACTTAATAGCTTATAAAAACTCTTTATATAAGCTAGTATTATTTTTAAGTAATATAGCTATTCTTTTAATAGCGCCTATAATACCTAATATTATAGAGATAATAATTAGTATTTATTAAATTATTATTATTATTAATAAGTTATTATTAAAAAAGTAATAGACTTACTACTATTTGCCTTTAAGACTTTTTCTTTTTCTGTAGTATTTAATTCTTTAATTTCTCTATTATAATCGTTAATAATAGCAATATTCTTAAACTCTTTAATAATAGTATCTTTAGTAAAAGTATTAAGAAAGGTATTAATAATATCTTTAGCAACAATATTAAATACATGTGCAGCACACCTAATATTAAATATATTATTATTATAAGATAACTTATAATTATTAATAATATTAGATAAAAAGGTATTATTATTATAGCTATTATCTCTAGTAAAGCTATAATAAGTTAGTTGCTAGTTTATTATTTATATATAATTTAATAATTTAATACTTACCTTATAACTCTACTAAAAGGAATATTATAACCTTCTATAATATTAGACTTAAATACTTTACTAAGATATACACCAGTATGTGCACTATCTAGAGCCTCAAAGCCTATTAATATTATTAGTATATATACTCTTAATATAATATATTAGTAATTAAATAATAAAAAGTTAAATACCTAGGATTTTATAGTCTAATATAAAGTCACTATTAATAAGGTACCTATAACGCCTAGGTAGCTCTTAGAGTCTATAGAAGTCTATATATCTAGTTGTAAAGATATATAACTATAGTTATTAAAGTAATTACTTAAGTAAAATAATATAGTATCTTTAGTAGTATTAAATAAAGTATTAATACTACTTATTACTTTACTATAGTATAACTTAGGACTATTACTATAATATAATAAATATAGTTAGTTAAATACTATTATAAGCTATAGATATTATTTTTAAAAATTAACTTATAGATTAAAATATTCTAATAAATTATTAAAGTTATTAGAAGTAATAATATAAAAAGGTAAGTTATTATTAATTAAAAACTTAATACAGTTAATAACTGCTGTCTCTAGTTTAAAAATAGTATTTAAAAGCCAAGGTCTTTTAAAGTTACTATTTATAGAAGTATTACTTATAAAGTTATTAATATTTGCTTAACTTATTCCGTATTTCTACTATTAATCTAGTTTTTAACTATAGAGAGTTAAAGAGTTAGTTAATATCTTTAAAGAATAATATTAATAAATAAAATAATATATATATATATATATAACTTACTAGATATTTTAGAAGGATCTCCTTCTTCTTCTTCTTTAATAATTATATTAGGATGTTTTTATTTATAATGTACTTAGCCTTGGCTAGCTTGAAATCTTTTAGCCTTAGTTTTAAAGCTAAAGTTACAGTTAGGCATATTACATTTACATATAATTTCCCTAGGTCTACTATAGTTAATAGTACTTAAATTATAAGTAAATAGCTTATTTACTATAATATAAGAATTAGTAGGCTTAATAGTATAAGTAAGACTATTCTCTAATGTGTCTATATATTGATTTTTTTTTCCTTTTATTTTATTAGTTAAGAGTTTACTGTAACTTAAGAAGAAGCTTTGCTATCTGTTATATTAGAAGAGCTCTCGTGAAAAGAATAAGAATCGTTAGATGCTGCCATTTTGTTTTAGATATATTTAATAATAAAATATAAAATATAGTTTTATAGGTTTTAATAAGTTATTTTAAAGTAATAGTTATAATATAATATAGTAAGTAGTCTTTCTTAAGGTTATATTTATATATTATATTATAGGTAATATAGTATATAGTGTTATAAGTTAAGTAAAATATAGTTAATAGTAAAGATAAAATAAAGAATTAGAAAGAGAGAAAAAGATAGTATATATAGTTATTTTATTATAATTATTTACTATATAATAAAGTATATAACTAAGAAAGTATAACTATAAGATATAACTATAAGATAAAACTATAACTATAACTATAAAGTATAACTATAAACTATAATTATAAAGTATAAGTATAAAGTATAACTATAAGCTATAAGTAAAAACTATAACTTATAAACTATTACTTATAGTCTATAAGTATAAAGTATAACTATAAACTATAATCTATAAGATATAATTATAAACTATAATTATTAAGTATAACTATAAAGTATAACTATAAAGTATAACTATAAAGTATAACTATAAACTAAAACTATAGAATATAATTATAAGATATAACTATAAACTATATAAATAAACTTATAAGTATAAATATTATTAGTATAGTATATAAATATAAAGTTTATAGCTTTTTAAAGATACTTATAATTTAAAATTATAAGTTACTTATTAGATTATTTATATTATATATTATTTATATAAGAGCTTCTTAAGTATTAATATTATATACTCTATATAACTTTTAGACTTTTTTCTAGGGTACTTCTTTTTAGATTATTTAATTTTACTTAACTAATCTTTTACTTATATATAATATAGTATAGTATTATTAATATCTTTTTAATTATTATATAACTACTTACTATAACTATAAGACCTTTTCTAGGGTACTTTCTTTAGAATATTTACTTTTACTTAATTAACTTTTTACTTATATAGTATAGTATTCTTAATATCTTTTTAAGTATAATATAACTATTTACTATAACTTATAAGTATAAGACCTTTTCTAGGGTACTTTTTCTTAAGATATTTACTTTTCTTTTACTAACCTTTTACTTATATAGTATAATATTCTTAATATCTTTTTAAGTATTATATAACTACTTACTATAACTATAAGACCTTTTCTAGGGTACTTTTCTTTTAAAAATATCTACTTTTTCTAAACTAGCTTATTATTTATATAAAGTAATATTCTTAATATTCTTTTAATTATTATATAACTACTTACTATAACTATAAGACCTTTTTAAGGTAATTTCTTAACTTATACTACTTACTTATAACTATTTAATTAAATAATAAGTTTAAATATTTAAGTAAAATATTTAAGAAAAATATATAGTATATATATCTATATACTAACTATATACTAGGCCTATTTTCTAGAACACTTTCCTCTTTCTGCTTAAACTAACGTATATAGGATACATAAGACCTCTTAGACTTATAAGAAGTCTTACCAAAAGAACAAGTATACTTCTTTAATACCCCCTATAATAACTAATTAATATATATATATATAAATACTATAATAATTATTATTTACTAACTAAGGTATAAAAGAAGGCTAAAAGCTTTCTTCTAGAGCTGGAAGCTGGGTAGAAGGGGTTAAAGTATCTTCTTAGGGGGTAAAAGAAGATAGAATATCTTCTGGATACTCTATAAATTCAGAAAAAAGGTTAATAGGGGCAAGAGTAGTATCATTAGAAAGCTCTTAAGAAAGAGAATCTAGTAGTACCTCTTAAGGAGAGATATAACTAGGAGGGGCTTAAGAAAGACCTTAAGGAAAGTGCTAAGCTATTATTTGAATAATAACTTGTTAAGCAGTAAGGTCTATTGCTAGTAAACTAGCTAAAGGAGTAAAAGAATCTATTATATCTAATATATAGAGAAAGGTATAATTTCTTATTCTAAGGACTATCTAAAATAAAAGGAGGATTTAAGGAGTATATATAGATATTCTTCTTCTTCTTTTTCTTCTTTTTTCCTTAGAATTCTTAGAAATAAAAGGGGATAAATATTTACCCTTAGTCTAGTTAAAAAACCTGATTTTTTCTAGTTCTAATGCAGGTCTTTATGTATTACTACCTCGTATATGTAGTAAGGTAGGAGTACATAAGTAAGAAGAAAGTATAAAAACAATAGTAAGGTAGAAGTGCATAAGTAAGAAAAAAGTATAAAAACACTAGGATTTTATAAGCCTTTCCTATTTAAGTAAGTAACTTATTAGCCCTACTAATTACTACTTTAGGAAATATATAAGTTTTATAATAATTATAAGATTTTAAGTTTTTTATCTTTTTTTTAAAAATAATATATATAATATAAGGTTTAAGTTAATATATATAGTAATACTAAAATAATAATTATATTTTAGTAAAGTATAGTACTTTTTTATATTAAGACTTATATTCTTTATTTACTTTAAATATCTTATAATATAATATTTTAAATATTTATATATTATAATATACTTTATATAGCTTATAACTATATAGTATAGTTATAAGCTATATAATTCTATAAGGTTATAAGTTATAAGTTATAAAAAGATTAAGTAAAAGTAGTTTATAGTAGTATAGTATATATAATAAAACTATATATATAACTATATAGTATAGTTATAAATTATATAATTTTATAAGGTTATACCTTAAAAGTTATAAAAAACTTAAGTATAATTAGTTTATAGTAGTATAAAATATATAATATAACTATATATAGTTTATATTATACTTTAGATTATATACTTTATAAAGTTGCTTTATAGAATTATTCTATAAAGTAAAACTTATAAGAATTATATATAATATTTATATATAATAATACTATATAATAATACTTAGTAAAGTATTTTTAAAATATAAATATCTTAATATCTATATTCTTAAGATTTATATCTTTTTATTTTTTTAATATCTTATTATATTATTAAGTATTACCTTATTATCTATAGATTATATTTATTAGTTATTATTCTAAGTATAGTCCTTTATAAATAACCTTTTTCTTAAGCTATATTATATTTATTATTAATAAAATACTAAATATATCCTTTATAGTAAGTACTTTAATATTTAAGAAGAATATAATTAGTTTATTTCTTTTAGCTAACTTTACTTACTTAGATAGAATCCTCTTTACCTCTTAGTATATTTTATTATCAGAAATACCTAGACTTTAATAATAAAGTTAACTACTATAATACCTTAAATCTTATAGTAAATAATAATACTAGTAGTAGTGTTATAGATATAGTTAACTTAATAGAAGATTCTAGTAGTTATATTTCTTCTATTTATAATATATTATTAGAAGACTTAGAAAAAGAAGAAACTAAACAACAAGATTTACAAGACTAACAGAATATTAATACTTTAGAGATATTTAATCCTTATACTATACTATATAATATTATAATACAAATAAAGATAGTATTATAAGTAATTCTTTAAAGCTACTATTATTTAAAGTATTTAATAATAAAATAAATAGTATTACTAATAATACTTATAAGGAATTTAAAGTAAGTAACTTATTAGTTTTTAAAATTATATATAATTAAAGATAAATTATAACTTATACTAATATATTATATAATAGAATCTTATTAGTAATACTATAGAGTATAGTATTAGTTATAATTATTATAACTAGGAAGAAAGTAGTATAAATAGTGTTTTAAATTATAATATTAAAGAAGTAAAAGAATACTATATTACTAATATTATTCTAAATACTTTTTATAGTAATAATATTAGAAATCTTAGTATTAATAACTAAGTAACTAAGAGTAAATAATAATATAACTACTTTAAAATATATATAATATATATAAAGAAGTAATAGTATTAGTATTAATAAAAATTTTTTTTAATATATAGATATATATATAAACCTACTAATATACTTTTACTTATATATTATTAGACTACTATATAAATATATATAAAAAGAATTAATCTTGTATTTTTTGTTTATATTTTGTATAATATATAAAATATAATACATGTATTTATATTTGTATTATATTATGTATAGGAAAAAATACAATACAAATACATGTATTATATCGTACTAGAAAAAAAATACAAATACATGTATTATATTTGTATTAAATTTGTATTGTATTTTTTTAATACTCTAGGATTTACTAGCGATAAGTCATCAGGGTTAACCTAATAACTCTAATATTTATCTGCGATAGTCAACATTACAACAGTAAAGTTAGTAGTTATATAAAAGTAAATACTAAATACTAAGTAGGTTAATATAAGGCTATTAAGGCTTATAGTATTATTAACTACTTTAACTATACTCTAAAGGATAGATTTATAGTTAGTAGTTATATACTCCTTATATATACTTTTATCGGCTTTTTAAAGCACTATATAGTATTATTTAATGTTTCTAATACTATAGTATACTTTAATAAAGATAATCTTAACCTTAATACCTATTATATAGGCTTTATATAAAAATCTAGTTATAGTAAAGTTTTTATCTATATTAGTAATTATCTAGTCTAGAGGTCTTTTATAAACATTAATCTAGTAGTAATAAAGTGTCTTTTATATAGTCTTTATTAAAATATTATAAAGAAAGTATACTATATTAAAGGTAGTTATAGTATTAGTAATATAAAAAACTAGTTAGTTACCTTTAAAGTATATAATATTAATAATAACCTTATAGTTAAAAAATTAGTTATTATATAA